AATGAACCCCTCCGCTAGTCAAAGTTTGGAATCAGAGTGCCGACTGAATGAGCTTCTGCGTTTGTTGTGACCAGTGTGGCTATCATGACATCCTGAAGGAAAATACTGAGATCAGGTGTAAGAAGCGAAAAGGAAGACGTACTTGCATGGCCAACCCGACCGATTTGAAGCAGGTAATCGAGCCCTGGGTGGCTGGTGCAATACGAGCAGCCAGAGGCTTCCCACTCGGATCGACGAGTTCTCCCAACTCTACCAAGTCGCGTTCGCCATCCAACTCTGCTTCGATGAGTTCTCCTGCTTCGAGCATGCAGTGTTCTCGCGAGTCGACCACGATCTTGCTCGCGCGTCTGATGAGATCCGTCGACACCTCATGCATGGCGCGCGTATACGAGCCCACGAGGATGAGGTGGGCTCCCTCCTTGATCCAATCAGCCATAGCAAGTGGTTTGCTAGCCGAGGTTGCAAAGCACACAATGTCCCCTTCGAGAGTCTTGCTTCGAGCAGCAGCAGTAGCAGCAGGATCATCGATGGAAGATTGGGAACGACTATGATCCGAACGGGTTTCCGCAAGACCCTTGCCTTCCTCCTGGGGACTTGTCTCGTCATCTCCGCACAGTCCGCTGAGTGTGATCTTCTTCGTCTGTCCATATCGGTCCATCAATCGCCCCCAGAGCTGCCTCCCTCTCTCGTTCTTTCTTCGGTTGATGATGTGACAGCACTGAATGGTCGGAAATCGCGCTAACAGCAGCTCGGCGTGGTACTGGATCTGCAGGCCTGCACCGAACAGAACCAGAGTCTTGGGTCGGGTTCTTTCTCCTCCATCAGCTTCGTGTGGCGCAGCTGTGTGCGACGAAGAGGAAGCTCCCAACAGCAGCAGCTCGGTGGCTAGCAGCGAACCCGCTGCTGTTCTCAGCGCTGTCAGATGGCGTGCATTGATGATGCTCTTTACATTCCCACTCCTTTCCTCGACGACAATTGTCGTTGCCGGCAGCCCTGCCTTTTGGCTCTTCGAGTCGTCTCCGTCGTCCACTAGCGCTGGGTTCTTGAGCTTCGTCTGATTCGACCTCGAACTCGCTTCTAGTATAATAATATTTTTAGGGAATTAGTTAGTAGTTATTATTATTATTTTATTTCTCATTGGCCCCCATTCAGACGAGTAAAGTGAACTGACCGAAAAGATCGCGGTATGGACCGTTATTCGCTTGAGGCACGCCCACTAGTTTCACGCTCATGCCCTGGCCAGCGACATATGCGGGCATGGTTAACATGGTCCATCCAGGCATCTCGACCGTCGTTCGTGGTGGGCATTGGATCAGCTGGGATCCCAAAAGATTGGACGCTGAGTGAAACAGCCGCGCTGTTTGGCCGACAAGCTCATCCAGGCTGATCGTCGCAATCAACGTCTCAACATCCTTAGCACTTAGAATACGCAATGTCATGTTCAATGTTCTTTCTTCTCTGGTGATGAGTGACAGGATAGTATAAACAGCCTGATCGAGACGACAGGGAGTCTTCCAATTGTATAAAAGGGAAAAAGGGAGGTTAGGGGCAGGGTCAACGACAAGGCAATGACCGGTGTTGTGGAGAAACAGATCGCGAGAGACTCGGAGAGATGGAGAGAGAGCAAAAAAAAGAGACAGCGATATTAACGGACCGTAACTGACGGCCGTGCACATAGTCCATCAGAATAGTGTAGGAGATACGTTGGCAGATGCAAGAAGAGAAAAGAGAGTGACAAGTGGGAGCAAGGGCGAGGTTTTGGAAACCTGTAGAAACACACCTTGCAAAGACAGTAATATGGAACAGTAGAAAGGATGTAAAGCCGTTGAGAGGGTGAAGAAGATTGGGAGGGGAGGGGGAAAGGACTACAATGTGGATAAGGGATACAAGAAAAAGGAGCTCCATCTCGCATGCACCCCTCTCTATAGCATGTGAGATGAGAAAAGCTCGTGAGTGGATGAGGATCGACACAAAAACCCAACTATCGATATGGAGAATGTGGGAGACGAAACAAGAGAGAGTTATAGAAAGCCCAGGAAGAAGGGAGTAAGAGAAAAAAAAAACATGTAAGATCTGGTTGTGCTTCTGATAGACGAAGCTTCTAGTCCGTATGATTGGAAAAAGTGGGG